GAACCAAGCCCTTCAGCAGAGCAGGGCTAAGGAGAGCTCCTAGCTCCTGGGGCCTAGGTGGGTGGTGGTATCTCTACATGGTCTTTTCTTTCCCTACAGGGTTTCTGCACTTGAAACTACATTGTTCAGCCTTTTTTCCTGACTTCTGTTGATACAGAGTGTTCTTCTGCAAGCCAGCCTGCAGCCAGCAAATGTTTCTGAAAGTGTTTTCTAGGCTTTGGAGGAAGTTTTTGGAGTAGGGATGGGGAGTGGGGGGTGGGGGTGGGGGGATGTTGGACAACATCCTGCAATAAATCTGTGAGGACTCTTTTTGGATCCTTTAGCTCTCTCTGTTCTTGCATGATTTTCAATGAACTAATGTAATTTTTTTATCCTTGTTTTCTTTTTCCTTTCCTTTTTTTTTTTTTTTTTACATTGTATCATCCTCTGCCCTTCTGTATGATAGTGCAGAGGAAATAAAATCATGTCTGTGGCTCATGACAGCGTTCCCTATTCAGTTGTTGGGTTGTGTTGTTGTTGTTGTGTGTGCTTTTAATGATCCCATGTAACTGTTTAAAAAAAAATTTCCTTTTTGATCAAGTCCCAAATCTGCCAGCCTGTTCTCTCTTCTTAACTGTGGAAAAATGAGACGGTTGCTTGAACATGTTGGGTAAGTAAAGCGATCCATTTCCTCTGTGACCATATGTACAAAGAGTTTGGCGAACATTTGGGGTCTGTTTGTGGCAGGGGGTCTTGGCTATAGCAGTGGAGGGCTTTTCATTAGAAGGAGCCAAACAAGGGCTTTTTAATAGTGTCTTGATTTTTAGGTGACTGTTTGAATCCACTGTTTTTCCTGAGAACCTGCAGCTAAGATCGAAGATTACACTTCCTGTTAACCCTCAGACAGGGGAGAGACATGTGCAGTTCATTGTGACTTACCTGGAGACCTTTCATGGGGTTTGTTTGGATATTAGATAGAACTCTGGGTAGGTGATCTGATTGGGAAATATAAGAAAGTGCTTGTTCTTAGAGTCACAGAGTCTTAAGCAAGTGGTGGGGGCAGGAGCTGCTGGTGGGGGTGGCGGTGTGTGTGTGGGGGGGTGGTGTGTGTGTGTGTGTGTGTGTGTGTGTGTGTGTGTGTGTGTTGGGGGGGTGGTATGTGTGGGGTGGTGGTGTCAGTACTCAGGTTTTAAGATACTGACACTGAGTGCTCACCTCCCCCCGCCCCCCCCATCAGCAAACTTGATTTGATTCAGGACTCACTGCACAACAGATTCGGCCTTTTTCTAAGCCTGACCCACACACATTTGTATGCACACTTGCCTTTAACTTATGATTTATTTCTCACTCCTTACATTTCCCCTGATCTCTTAATGCTGCAGTTAGAACTTAAGAGTGGGGGAAAAAGTGGGCTCTTGTTTAGTGTTAGCTTCAGAATTTCTCTGGAAGTTCCCTGCATCAATTTCTAGCCTGGAGACCAATACAGCGTGACTGTAAATGCTGGAAATATATTCAGTTGCTGTGTTATGCCAACCTGATGGAGTCAGTAATCTTTTATTTTATTTTTTTTTTGCTTTTAAATTACTGTCCAGCTTTTAGCACCAATTGGAAAAAGGCTCATTTAAGAACGAGAAATGTACCAATTCTAAGTTAGGAAAAGTCTGTGTAAGGCAGGCTTCTTAGAGTAAAAGTGCAGGAGTTAATGATATTTTCTGGACTTAAAACCGAACCGTGCTGCTGCCCCACACAAGTAAGTTCAGACACTTAGCTATTCTCTTTGTTCTTATCTCCTGGCTGTAAATGGAAATTACATACTGAGGTTCTGGTGGCCTCCCTAGGAGCAATATCTAATCACAAGACTCCTGGTTTGGTGCCTTCAACGTTTGCATAATGGTGTGTTTGTTGGGCTGGAAGGAAACCTAAGGGCAAGGCATTTGTTCTCTGAAAGCTCACATTAAAATGGCTCCCACAGGTTTGCAAAGCCAAGATCTGTTTTCAAATGTGCAGCCCCAGCAAATTCCCAGCCCTGGACCAGGCAAGCCACTTTCCCTGGGTCCTGTGTCCACCACCAGGCATGAGTCTGTAAAAGTCAGTTGCTTTCAAAGTAGCATTATTTTCCAGTTTCATTGCGGGGGGGGGGGGGCGCCGCGATAAATGCCTGCATTGCAGCAGGACTAGGTAGGCACAGCAGTGCTGGCTCAGGGAGCAGCCCAATGGGGCTCCTCTCTGCAGCTTTTGAACCAATAGACTGGGAGGAAAGGTTACAGACTGACAATTGCAGTGGCGGAATGGAGACTGGGCCTTCTGGAAATTTCTACCATCTTTGATCCTTTTAGGAAAAGCAGACCCACCAAGCTGAAGAATCTTCTGCATTCCATTCCTAGGGCATCTCCCAGACCCCCCTTTCTTTTTTATATCCAGGTAGAATGTTCTCTGCCACGTTTGCAAATTGCAGAGGGAGGGACGGAACATTGGGCTGTTTTCCTTTTTCCTTCTGCCTCCTCAGTCCCCAAAGAGGATGCACAGCTGCAAGGAACAAACACAGACACACTGAAGCTTTTGATTCCTCTCTCCCCCTCCCTTTTTTTCCCTTCAAGACCCTCCAGGATGGATTCACTTTCTGCTTTGGGAAATTAAGTGGCATTCACGTGGGGGAGGGGGAGTAACTGCTTTTATTAGCTCCAGAAAATGGTCAGTGTTCAGTCTGTAACTAGGAATTAATTATATATAATCACCCACTAAACTTTCTACAGAGTTTTTCTAATTGCTGTGCATGACCATGGTTAGCCTGTTGGCGCCCTGTCCAGTTACTTTTATAATTATCAGCTCAAAGATTTGAGTCAGACACAATGGGGCATCTTGGATATAGATTAGGGATGGGAACAATAACACCCCCCTCCCTCCCTCCCTCTCTTTGTCCCTCCCTCCCTCCCCCCTCTCTCCCTCCCTCCCTCCCTCCCTTCTTTCCTTCCTTTCTTCCTCCCCCCCCCTTTCCCTCTCTCCCTCCCTTCCCCCTTTTTCTTTCCCTAGATAACAGTGGGAAAAGGCTTCAGGTCTTAAATAGGAGAGGGGGAAAATGAGTCAATCTTTAATAAAAAGCCAGGGTGACAGTAACCCAGAAAACCCTGGAGGCAGAAGTAAGGTTTTTGAGTCCAACCACTTCAAATGTGTGCTCTTTTTGTTTCTTTTGCCTTCTTTTCCCTTCTCCTGTGGCAGAGGCAACAAACATTTGTCAGCTGAGAAGCCCTAGATCTGGCTTTGCCTCTGGTTGACCCTGAAAAGAAAGACACATGCGAAAGTGCCTTTGCCACCTCACAGCAGAGGTTTAGAAAGCCCTTGTGTTGCTCTTAAATGCAAAAGCAAGGATTCACCCTTGGCTTCAGGTTGCCTGGGCTATGGCTGCCCTTCCCCCTCCCCAATCTCCTTCCAGATAAACAAGCAGGCGGGAGCCATTTCAGCCCTGTAGCTCGCTGTGCTGTGAGGCTGTCCCTCCTCATCAAGATTACCCACCTACCGGCCGGCAAGGAGCCAGCTGCCCGTCCTCGCCCTGGCACAGCCTTGGGCACCATGCCCTCCCGTCTCCCCTGGAGCTAAAAAGCAGTCACCTTGAAACTCCCCATGCACAGCACCGCAGTTCTGAGGCCAATGCTCAGACCTGTAACAGTAAATTACATTATCCACTATGAGGCTATTAGTTTGGCCTTTGAAAGCGGGTTTTGCAAAACCCGTTGTTAATTTTCAGGGCTCTGTTGGGGGTGGAGAAAAATCTAATTTGTGAGTATCCTGTTCTTTGGCTGAGCGACTGTTTTACCGTTGCGTCTCTGCAGAATCTGATTGTCTTTCGTTGATGCTGAGTTAGGACTGGCTGGGTATTTGGTGGCCGTTTTCAGGCGTATACACCGCCTTTGGATTTTGCCTTGGCCTCAGACCGGGGTGCAGCCCTTTGGCTTGGCTTCTCAGATGCCTGGTGTCCTGGAAGCACGTTTGTTTTATCCAGCTTCTTTTTGCTGTGGGTGCAAAGCTGGTTTTTAATATACCAAGAAGGGGAAATGGGCTTCCCTCCCCTCCCCAGCCTGCTCCCATTTCACATTCTTGTGTTTTGCGCAGACACCTGTCTCCCTGCAGTTTGTGCCACAGTCTGCCTGTTTCCTAACCTTCACCCACCTAATTCGAGGGCCAGGGGGCCTCATCTCAGAGCCTCGTGGCAGAAGGCTCGGGATGTGAGAGGGAAGGCTTTTCCTTAGGAACCTGTGACTTCACAAACTCCCCCTGTCACTGCAGGGCTTTTTTTTTTTTTTTTTTTTTTTTTTTTTAAAGCTTCTAAACGTTGGGTTGCTGGTGTCCTCTGGTTGAGCTTTTCCTGGTCCTGATATTTAGGAAGGTGGCTTTGAAACTAGCAGGGCTGCTTAACAAGAGCTACAGCTATTGAACAAACTGCTACCATTTTAGCTTCAATACAGGAATGAGGCAGTGTTGCCAGACGCCATTTTAAGAATCCTGCATAAATAGCTTAGCTCCCGATGACTGCCTGTTTTAGGTGAGTGCTTATATAAAGCTGCTCTGCTAACCATTCCCTTCCCTCCTTCAATTAAAAAAAAAAAACAACAAAAAACGATTTGCAGATTTAGGGAAGCATGGTTTTTAAAATTTTGATGTTGACTGTTTTGTGATCTAGAAGAGGAAGATGTGTGTCTTGGGGATTAACTATTTCTTGCAGCCTGGACCAGTTTGGTATTTTGAATGAAAGTCAAAAGCTGAAGGAAAAGTCCTCTGGAATGATGCATGCTTCTTGAATTGCTGGGTGATGGTCCTCGGCCGTGGGGCCAGAGTCTTGTGCATGCTGGTTGTATATTCTAGATGGGTTTAGATATTCTTGGTTAAAAGTCAAATAGTAGGGGCTCTTGGGGAAAGATGTGGGCATTGTGTATCCAGGCATTTTTCTGTAAAAACTAGGTTCCCCCCCCCTCTTTTGGGAGTGTTGAGGGGATGGGATTCCTGGGTGTTACGGACCAGCCTTGAGTCCTCAGAATTAATAATCAGAAGGCTTAAAACATCCAGGAGGTTCAGCAGTTCATCTGCAACTTTTAATTGCTCTTTTTCAGTGCATGCAGGTTGGGAACGAAGCTTAGGTTTTCCTGCTCAGGCATTGGGGGAGAAATCTTTTATTCTTTCTGGGACTGGATGGCATGGTCTTGGTTGTGTTTGCAGGCGCTGTTATTTCTTTAATTGTCTGAAATGTGTCAGTGTGTGAAATCCAGAGGCAAGTGACTAAGGGTAAATGTGAGTGCAAGAAGTGGTGGTGGTGCTGGTGGTAACAAAATGTATACAACTGGCTGATGGTGAATTTTCCTGTTGGGGTAAGGGACTGTTGTTTGCCTTTCAACTAATATTACCCTTTCCTAATGTGGGCCCCAGTCTTCCCTGCAGACCTTAAAAGAAAAAAAAAAATGTCAGTTTGAAACAAGGGCTGCTTGTTCCATTGTTTTTGATTTAAATAATCGGGGTTGCTGGAAGCTTAACAGATAGGGAAGGAAAGATGCTGTATATTTCCTAGGACTTGAATGTGTTAATGACAGGAGTTCAAAGTCTTCTCTCCAGATGCAGCTGCCTTTTCAACAATTACTGTTACTTGACTTTTTTTTTCTCCAAATGACTGAACAGTTCTTAACCTTAATTGATCAAGATCTGTGGGGCATTCAGACAGGTACAACAAATCTTTTCTCACTGCCACTTTTGATGTAATATTCATAGTTTTGTCTTTAATAACATACTAGTACTTAACACTGAACCAAGAAAACACACACACACACACACACACACACACACACAACAAAACAAAAAAACCCACCTGAGTTCAGTGGTGTAGGAAAAAGGAAGTCCCTTTAGATGTGGCTATTCGAAATGACTGATTTTGCATTCTGGTCTTTGCTTTTATAAATGAATTTTTTCCCTTTTAATGCACAGACTCTGCAATTTCCTTCAGTCAAATACAGTTTATTGTGTGCATGCATGTGTGTGCATGTGTGTGCATACACGGGTTCTCTTTAAAAGGATGGCTTGCTGATCTGTGAAAAAGATGGCTTTCTGAAATTGTACTTGAAATCCTGGGCTAAAGCTGGTGGTGCTATTGCTAAAGTTAGGTGATTATGGTGCCCACTTGTAATACTTGGAAAGATAAAACAGCTTAACTTTTTCCCCCTTCTTTTCTGCTCCAGGATTGATTATCTGAAATTCAGCAGCAAATAGCCCCCACATCACTAGTTTGCATTTTCTTAGCCTCTCAGCAGCATTTCTGCCTGAAGCATTCAACTCCTCTGGGCTGTTACAGCCCAATCATTGTTCTCTTGAACACAGCCCTCCTCCATGATCAATATACCTTTGAATGTTTTCATCCCTGCAGAAATCCTTCAAGTGGGTTTTGGGAGCTCGGTTATGCCTAATTGTTTCTCTCACTACTGGACGTTTTGGTTGGATCCCAGATTAGCATTTTTCTCCATCACTCCCAATATGGGATCGGTTTCAGAAGTTTAGGATTTCACATACTTCATGCTGGAGAAGGAAACAATTCTAGTTGGCAGAAAGATCCAGATGGCTATTTGTTCTTTTGAAGTGGACCATCCCACCCACCTCTGAGGGCTGCATGGGGTTTTCTGTTAAAAATTTATTTCCAGTCACCTCAAGCAAGCAACCATCACCAGGATCTCTTTGGGCAACCTTTGTATGTGTGTTTCTGAGTTGAGAATGTGCACCTCTTAAAGTGGAGTAAGTTATTAGTGCTAGAATCGCCTTCCACCATCACTGGGGTATTAGTGCATGTTAGCGATGTGTTTAAGAGGCTGCTTTCTTCTGATGAAAACCATTTGTGACAACATGTCAGTTATTTCTTTGGTGATTTGTGTCACAGCCTGTCTCTACAGATGCAGTACAAATGAAATTGCTAATGAGTTCAGTATCAGAGAGCTAAAGGTGTTAATATTCTGATTTAAAACCAAACTACCTTTTTTCTCTCTGCTGAGACTAGTTAAGTTTGAGGCCTCCAAGTTCATATAATTGAATTCTGAGCTGTCCTCTCTTCCTCTCTATCTAGTTCCCATTCTGAACCCTCTTCTTCCAGCGAATGTGGAACTCCCCTAAACATACCTCCATGTGACCAGGCCTTTTGGGACTCATCTTTTGTCCCAGACAGTCCCGGTCCCGGACCACGGAATACAGAAGGGACATTCTAATCTTTCCTCTGCTACCCAGCCTCCCTCCTGTCTGCCCTGGCTTTGAGTCTTCCAGATGGAAAATTCCAGCCGTAGCAATTGAGGATGCACTCATATCTCGTTGAACCACAGTCTGATGGAATTGCATTAGAGTAACTGTTAAGATTTTTATCGCTTCACTGTCAGCCCGAACATTGGGGAAGTTCAGCACCTCACATTTTGCACCTATTGAAGCAGAACTTGACTGGCTTGGTTAGGAGGGGTGTGTGGGGGGAACATACGAAATGGCCTGTGCTCTGTTCCGCGAGTTCAGAAGAGAAAAAGATTTCTGGTGGACCTTTCCCGCGAAGGGGCCCCAGCCCCCAACTCTCAGCCTCTTTCAAATAATCCTTCCTCATTCCACCTTTGTGGTGGGGGATAATTAGTCACAGCTCAAAAGAGTGCTGAATGCTTTCTCTAAGCCATGCCTGCTACCCAAAGGAAACATCCACGGGGTGGGGAGTGTGTTGACCCCAATCCTAATTCCTGGGATCAGCGCTGGGGGGGTTGAATGTTTCGAGACTAGGCCTTTTGCTTCTAGCCTGGGCAAATTTTTCTACATTGTAATTCTGTACACTTTTTTTCATGTTCCGGCCTCATTGTGAAATTGTAAGATTTGGCAGGGGAGGTCTGAGAAGTGCTGTTTGCCTTATAGGATTCAGACATCAGAACTCTGGATACTGGGACAAACTACCTCCTACCTGAACCCCGTGTTAGAAGAAGGAACTTGTTTACTTGAAGGCTGGGTGGGGCAGATTGTAATTGTGTGTCTAAAAAAATGCATTTTTTTTGCATCCCCCAATAGCATGACAACTGGAATAGTAATTGCGCTTAAAAAAAAGAGCAACCTAGTGTTTGAAAAATACTCCTTTAGAAGGTTTAACACTTCGTTTGCAACTGAGTGTGGATTTCTCCCCCCCCCCGCCGCCCCCACCATCTCTACATAAGGATGGGGGATTGTGTTCAAGTTGGATTTGTCTTTAGGACTTCTAAAGACACCCCCATGACACCCCCATGGGCAAGTTCTCAGTCTGCCTAAACCTGACCATAATTTGCTCTGTTTCAGCTTGGCTGAAGAGGAAATAAAAACTGAACAGGAGGTGGTAGAGGGCATGGATATCTCTACTCGCTCCAAAGGTGAGTAAAAATCTCGTGCATTACTTATTCCAACGCAGAGGAGGAAATTGGAGTTTTTTTCCTCATTGTGGTGCAGCCAAGTGTGTCTCTATGAGCCCAGGTTGCAACACTCCTCTGATTTTGAGACGTGGGGCCTTAGAAGGATGCACCTGATTTATGGGCAAATCTCTTTCTGCTTTTCTTCCCCTTGCGTGCCTGTGCAGGTAGACCGACCTGTCGGGGATTGTTCCTGACAGCACGTTTTATATCTTGACTGAGGGTGGCTGGCTGTCTCTCTGCAGGGCGACTTTCAGGAACCAGAATTTAAATAAAGTGTGTTCCGGAAGCCATCCATCTCCAGCTACTGCTTGGTTTTTGTCTTGAATAGGCCCGTTTGGAGTCACAGAAGTAGAAGAAAATGTAGGACTTAGTGAAAATGCTGGGGCCAGTAGACGCATTTAGGACATAATTTAGCAAATTAGAGCAAACAGTATTGATGTTTTCTAAGGTAGAAACCTGCATGAGACTCCACAAACTTCTAATTGAAGGACTGGTACTTTTCGTTCGGTCGGTCCGCATGATATTTTATGAGGCTTCCCCAAAAGGGAAGCAGTTACTCCCTTTTGCTGCCAAGGGCGCTTTTAAAAATGAGGCCCTGGAGTATTTTTCATGTCTTCGGTGGATGGAACGCTCACCTCTAAACCTCGTGGTCGCAGCACGGCGCTGTAACCCTTCGGCGAGTGCGTGCCTGAGCACATAGCCCTGCGCCGGGCACGGGGCGGGCGGGGCGGGCTCTGCCCGAGAGCCGCACGGAAAGCGGCTCCCTCGAGGCGTCTGAAATAACAGCTTTTTGAGGATTTTTACAAGCTTGTCATTTTGAGCAAAGACAGGGGGCAGGTAGTCCTGACTGCGACCTGGGAAGAGGGGGCTGGCCCGACAGATGGGGGATAGGCATGGCCCAGGGAAGAGGTCAGAGGCTCCTCAGGCGGATGTGCCAGGCTGCGCCGGGGGTGGTCTGTGCCTGGGGGCGGGGCCGGGAGAGGTTGGCAGGGTGGGCCCAGCAGTGGGCGCTTCATTCTGCGTCACAGCGCCTATCCTGCCCATTTGGGGGTGGGGCCTCAGCAGGGGAGTTTTGAGCAAGGAAAGAACCTTGCTGAAGGGGTATTTAGTGACAGCTGGAGGGAGGGTGGCTCAGCCCCCTTGCTGTGGTCAGAATGGCAGGAAAGGAAGGGTGCTGGGAGATAGTGATGTTTTGCTGTTTGGTGTCTGCCGGGGCTTGGACACCTTCTGTCTCTGTGCTTCCAATTCCTTACCTGTCAAACTGGGCGTTAGGTTAGAGTCTACATTTCCTCCCACCTTGGGCGTCTCTTGTAGAAGAAATACAGTGTTTAGGAAAGCTGTGTTTGGACCAGCAGCTTTCTCTTACTGAATTCCCCCTTTGGAGGGAGGTGTTGTTCCCATTTTGCAGATGAGGAAACTGAGGCTCCAAGTGGTAATGTCTTATAGGTAGTAAGTGGCAGAACCGAGGCTCTGCCTGCAACGAGGCGCTTCCTTCCTGAAGCCTCGCTGTGGCGACTTCTCCAAGAGGGTCAAAGTCAGGGACTGTCACCTGGGACTGGTGGCCTGCTCTGGTTGGGACACCCCCACCCCACATGTGCGGAGTACCCTGTTCTCTCCTCCCTAAGTGTGGAGACCTCTCTTGTCTTCTTTCATCTCCCAACATACTCCTAGCTCTTCACCAGGTGGCATCTCCCTATGACTGTGTTGCCTGAACATGACCACTCTGGGGTGACCATTGTCCCTATTTCTTATGTGCCCCACTCCAGGCCTCCTTCTGTAGCAGCCCAGATGATCTAAAAAGCATAGGTCAGATCTGTCCCGTTTTGCTAACTCCTTCCACTGACCTCCAGGGAGGGCCCTGAGGCTCAAGTCTGAGGTCACTATGTCGCGTCTGCCTGGGCTGACTTGTTCACCTTGTGACATTCTGTTTAGCTCCGGCCCTCTCTTTCCCTGACTCTACTTGAGCTACCTGGCCTCTTTCTTCTCTGGCCCCTCCTTTGGGCCCCGTGTGTCCTGTGCCCTTTGCTGGGAACATGGTGTCCTGGGTCCTGCTGCCTATTTCTTATCTCTCAGATGCATCTAAGACGTCAGCCATCTCTTTGGAGAAGCCTTTACTGGCCCTGCAGTCCAAACAAAGAAGCCATTCTGTCGTTTTTGTTACTTTTAATAATAAACTTCTAATTTTAGATTTCCAGATAAGTTGTGAAGATACTGCAGTTTTCTAAGGAGTATCATGCTACACACACACACACACACACACACACACGAGTTTTCCTGTTATTGATATCATACATTGGTATGGTTTATTTGTCACAATTAACAAATCGATACTGATAATGTTATTACCAACTGAAGTCCATGCTTTGTTCAGATTTTCTTAGTTTTTCCACTGAGGCCCCTTTAATGTCCCAGGATCCTGTCCTTGATACCACCCACAGTGTATTTAGTTGTCACACCTCCTTTGATGCATCTTGGCTTTGACAGTTTCTCAGATTTTTGTTTTCGATGACCTTGATTATTTGGAGGAATGCTTGTCGAGCATTTTTTAGGGTTTCAACTGGGATTCTTCCGTGTTTTTCTCATGATTGGACTGGGGTAGACCAGGATAATAGGTTTGGGGAAAAAGTGCCATTTCATCACATCCTATCAAGGGTACGTGTTACAGACTGATGATGTTGACCTTGATCCCCTGGCCCAGGTAACAGTTGTCAGTGTCCTCCATTCCATGTTGTACTCTTTAGAAGGAAGTCACAATGCCCAGCTCGCGTGGAGTGCGGAGTTAACATTCCTACTCTTTCAGGCCAGAATACCTACATAAATTATTTAGAATTTCTTCTATGTGAGATATTTAGCCCTCCCTCACATTTATTCAGTCATTTATTTATATCATCATGGACTCAGTTATTTTCTACTTTGGGTTGTATAGTCCAATAATATTTATTTAGTTATTTGCTCAAATTATTCTAGCTTTGGCCATTGGGAACATTTCAGTATCCTTTTGATGTCATTGGGGGTTGACTGATTGATTGACCACTTCCTTACTTTCTGCCACTACAAGATGCTCTAGGCTCATCTTGTATATTTTCTGTCACAGCGCTAGCATTAGTCATTTCCCCAAGGAGCCCTGTTTTCGTTTATTGGAGAATAGCCTTAGAAACCAAGATCCGGGTACGTGGTGTGCTCATTGCTACTGGTGCATGCAGCGTTGCTTCCAGTTCCTCTCAGCAGACAGAGCAAGGACATGTGTTACTAACCCATCTGTGTACACATATCTATAGATATTTCTCTCATCTATATCAAATTAAAGAAGTCCATACACTTGTCTCCATTTCTGATCCATTACCGCATGGATCATTCCAGCCTTCTTCCCTTGCTTATCTGCAGCCTCTCACCATCTGCCATTTGTTTACTATTTTCTGGTACATTTTAAATCTTTGGCGTACAGCTTGATGAACTTCTTAATGCATATACGCTAATGGGATCAGAACCCAGAGCAAGATAACCGAACATTTGTGGCTTTTCAGAAGGTTGTTCAGAATCACTCCTGATTTTCTTCAGATCCCTTGTCCATGACCTTGTAGTTCTTATTGATTTGCTTGTTGATGGTCTTCTCTGCTAGGATGTAGGCTCCTTTGCTCCCTGGGTCCTTGACCCCCTTCTTCACTCCCCCACTTCCATTCGGGGTGCAGGATGGCATGAAAGTTTAGAAAACCCCTGCTTTTGGAGCCAGGCTTCTGGAGTTCACATTCTGGCTAGTGCCCTGCCTCACTGGGTTATTCTTTGTGACTCAGTTTCCCCTTATACAAGGGGACAATGGATGAAGATAGAGGGTTTTGGTGAAGATGAAATTTGCTCACACATGCTCAGTGCTCAGTTGGTCCCTGGGACATGGTCGCGCTCGGAGACGTTAGCCATGATCAGAACTGGCATCAAGGGGGACGAGCTTGTGTTGGTAGGCCCATCGCGTGGAGGTCCTCCTTCCACCTTCTACCACTGCACCCACTTACAGTCTCTAGAGAGAGGGTGTGGAGGAAGATACGGGAGCCATGCCCCAGTCATGAAGAATTGCACAGGGTTACCTGGCAGGCAGGCTCGGACAGGCATCCTGTGCTGTTGGACTCAGACATTGGAAGAAAACTGGTCTGTAGCTGTTTGGACTGATTTTTTTCTCAGGGCTTCTGGAGCCTTTGTCCTGGTGGGGAGTCCGTGAACAGGGGAAGGGGTCGCCCGGTTCCGAGGGAGGCCTTTCTCTCTCTCCAGGGTCTGCCTTGGGTGGCTTTCTTTGTGTGACACTGAGCCCTGGCCCTCGTCGTCGAGGGGCCGCCTCTGGGTCTCAGGAACGTTTCGGACGGAGCCCCGTGTGTGTCAGGCAAGGACACTGTACACAGAGGCCTGGGGGTATGAGGCTGGGTTGCTGGGGTTCTGAGTGCCGATGTCATCGTGGTCAAAATGTGAGGTTTGCAAAGGCTGATAGGATGAAGTCTTATCTCTCTTTCGGCCCTAATTACCTCAGAATCTGAGGTGTGGTGATGTGGGCTCAGTAAATGCAAACGTAATCTTCCAGCCTGTTTTTCTTGTGGTTTGGGAAATTCATCGCTTCAGTTCCCTACGTGACACCATCCCTGCCGGGGTTCTTTGGCTGCGAGCAGCAGAGGCTGCCGGTGAACTGGAGGGCTGTTGGTTGGCCCTTGGATGGGGTCGACGGGAATGCTGGCGGTCGGAGGCTGCCCTGGGGAGTGGAGTACAGCCTCCTCAGGGGTGGTAGGGCGAAGTCCCCAGGGAGTGTCTCAGTCGGTGTCCTGTGTCTCTGCACTTTAGCCAGGGAAGGGCTGGTATTTGGACACCAAGACCCACCAGCACTGCCTGCATTGGGGAAGAGATAATTCCTTAAAATAGGATGAGGTGCCCTGACCGCAGTGGCTCAGTTGGTTGGGCTTCGTCCCTTGAAGTGAAAGGGACAT